CATTGCCAAAAATTATTGTAAATTTGGGGGTTGGGTTTTTGTTTGTCTTTACTTTTGGGGGGTACTTTTTCCAGGTTTTTTTCTGGATTTGGGGTTTTTCCCCCCCCCACAGAATAGGAGTCCTACTTCTATATTTGCTCTGCCAGGATCTCCTGCTTTCACTTCTATCCTGGCAGGGCGAGCCTGATTTTGTTTTGCCAGAAATCTGACAGCACTTCTGTATTGCAGAGTTGTTATCAAAGTGTTTTAACAGCAGGTGGGGGACACTCGTGGAGTTCAGGTGCCCAGTGCATAAACTGTGTCTGTAGGTGCCACGGAGAACCTGCAGGTCCTTTCATGCAAAACTTCAACTTGGTTTGGACACTAACTTAATCAGGGAGTTGCTTAGTGTAGAAATACACAAATTTTTCACATTTGAAATTATTTATTTGATTTTTTTGAGACTGTATTTATTCTACTAAGATTTTAATTAGGAATTTGGTGCTTGTTTCTTGGATGTGGTGGCCCTTGGTTGGCATTCTAGTGTGCTGCAAAGAGAAGTCAATCTTCTCTGCCACTGTTTTTCAAAATATTTACCACTAGGAGATAGTACTCAATTTTAAAAAGCATTGAGGGCTTTGCACATCTGAGCATGTTGGATTCAAAGGATATGAAGTGTGTACACAGAAAATAAGGGGTTAAGTCAGAGATGTTCACTTTTGCTGCAGTTACTGGGATGGCTGCCTGCATTCCCGATGAATACCCCCATTTGGAAAGATTTTAAATAGACTGGGCTGGATACATGGGAAAAGCAAAAAAGAGTTCAACCGATGGGAGCATTTTGTCAGGATGATGGACTGGAAAATACAGCAGGTATTTTCTGTCTTTTAACGTACAAGGCTGTGTAATACAGTTGGGCTCTCCCACCTGAGGGACGTGTGTGCCAGTTGGCACCCGGCTCCCCTCTGGCTTGGCATGGCTGCCTTTCTGGGCCAGCCTTACTGAAGGAATGTGATTTGCTATGAAAAATGTGTTGATCAGGCTTGGTTTTCTGCCACCAGGCAGATTAGTGAATTGCCTTGTCTGCCTCCCATTGCTTTACTCCAGCCAGCAACATCTAAGCCTTTATGATTTTGCAGGTCTTCATTAAAAATAGCTGTTTCTATATCTGATTACTGAGCCCCATCTGGGGAGAAATGAGCCTTTCATCTGTGTATTATGAGGCCATATCTGAGCACATTGATTCCATAACAGAGTAAAATCAGACAAACTTTCTGTTCAATTGCTTTTCCAGCTCATCTCCAAGTTCTCTATGAGCCCTGTCCTGTCCCCAGCACATAATGTCTGGGGTTAGGGCTTTTGTTTTGTTTTGTTTTAATTGCTCTTTTACTGCTAAATGTAATTTTTGTAATTGCTTACATAACTCCAGGGTTTTATTTTAAATTAATCTAGCTTTGCAGTCATTCTACATATGTTGCTCCTAACATTGCCTATTATTTGGATTAATTCCACTAATTTATCACCTCTGTTTAGATATGCATTGTTTTTATAATCCTTACAACTGAATTAAAGCACACTTGTTGGGCTAAAGGCGAAGTTTGCCTCAGTAAATCAAGTGGCTTTCTTTTCCCTCTTGGTTACTCCATATTTATTTGGACAGGGTTTTTTTCTGTGTGTGCTCTGGTAGCTGACTGTAAAATTAGCAAATATTCTAGTAAATCAATTTAAATTATTTTGATTATATAATAAAATTAATGGGTAGTGCAGGAATTTATTTTTCTTTTTGTCAAATTCTAAAATATTTCTCAAGATTTAAACATCTAATTAGCAGCCAACTTCTTTTACCTAAGGTTAGCTCTAAAGCTTGATGGTGGCATTAGTGAAAGGAGCAGAACTCATTATTAGCTTGTATTTTTAGTTGGTGCCTGGCTATTCATCTCTTGAGTATATTTTTAAATGGTTGGGTAGGCATAACCTAAAAGCCAGTACAGCCTGTCCTCATAAGCAAGAGCTGTGCCATCAGGTGCTTTCTTTATGCACAGAGCAAATGGAGACATTTAATGGTGGTGCTCATCTCTCATCTTCCCATTTTTCCCACCAGTGCATTGTAAAGGGACCAAGCCGATACATAATGTGGGACTTATGGGCAAATTACTTTCTTAAAGGAAAATTTCCTTTGAAAATGGGCTTCCACTGTGAACAGGCTGTTCTTCCATGAGTACAAATACAGAACGAGAAACACTGAAATCTTTCACTGCCTGTATATTGAAGCTGTCTTTAGGGACGGGAAGGAAAGGCTTTTTTCTGAATGTGCATGAAAGGAACAGCACACAGTTTATTGTTCGACAGCCCCTGCCAAACTCTTTTTTGATGAATACATGCATATATTTCTGGGATTTGGCATGTGAAAAACCCTTGTGGGATATCTCTTTGGGTGTGATATAGTGTTAAAATATGACAGGTACCAAGTCCAACGTTTTCTCAACTGAAAAACTCCTCCATTGATGGCGACACTGCAAACAGCAGAAATGTGAGCCAAGGGTTTCTCAGATGTGCAGCAGAGCTCAGCTTTCCCATTCACTGTGAGCAGGCAAGGAGGATTCATAGGGCTACCAAAGGATGCAGGCTGGATTAGTAAAGGGCAACTCACATTTTGTCTAAAATAAGGAACAGTCAGGGGTTTTCTCCTAACTGAGTGGCTGATCAAGTCAGTACATGTGAAAAGATCTTTTTTAAACAGAAACAAACCAATTCCCTTAGATTCCACTATTAATTGCATGTAATACACAGTGTATCTATTTTACTATAGTGTTAACATTTTTGAGATTGCATATAGTTATTTTTCTTCCAGCATGTGGCGCTTTAATGATTTCTCACAAATTGCAATTTTTAATCTTAAATTGAAAATGTGTCCAGAAATTTAACTAGGCCCAGACTTGCATTGTAGAAAATAAAGGAAAGGATTGCAGCTCTCATAAACTCTTATCCATGAGTAATTATCTTGTTATGTTAAAGTGGTTCTCCTGAATATTAAAATAATTAGGACCAACGATCTCAGCAATACTTTCCTCAGATGTTGTAATTGGCAGGGGGTGTTAACTAATTAAATGTATTTCTATTGCTGGCTGGCTAAAGAAAAGGATGAAGCACTTATAATTGCCGAGATTTAGCAAGAGCACTTGTTTACTACAGTATAAACACAGAGATTACGGTGTTTGTGATGGGCTAATAGCTGAGACAGGAACAAAAATGCTTCCTGAGGGCATTTCTCCTTGCTCAAGGGGAGCTGGAATAAGGGGTGTTGGCAGAGGATGGGGCTCTCCCCGTGAGCTCAGCAGTGGCTGCTGCAGCACTGGATCTCACAGGATGGGTCCCAAAGCACTGGGAATTGCTGTGGGCTGGAGGGAAAAGGCACACGTCTCTCTGCAAGGGCTCATGATGGAAACAGGCTGGCAGGTCAGCCAAGGCATCCATCCAGCCCTGAGCAGTGTTTGTGTACCAGTGCTGGGTTAAACACCTGCCCTGTGTGCTGTATCCTGGGATCCTGTTCCTGCCCCGTGGCAGCAGATGTTGGGTTGGTCTGCAATGAACCACTGCTGGTGTCTCAGAAAGCTGGTGGTTACTTGCGCTTATTTCAAAAGTGGCTCTTTCTCTCTCTCTCTCTCTCTCTCTCTTTTTTTTTTTTTTTTTTTTTTAAAGTTCATAGGAAAGACTTTAAAAAAATCACTCTAAAATTGGCTATTGTCTGATCTCTGAAGTAATCAATTTTGGATTCAGCCCCCTATAACAGTTTGACATTTCAGGGTCAGCAGAACAACTTTCTGGCAGATTGAAAAGCTGTGTTTCTGGCCCCAGGGTAGATTAGAGTAAAACTGGGCCAAATAAAATGAGGTTTCAAAGCATCTCACTTCCATTTCACTGCAGTTGGAAAAGGCAGTGAGGGCTGTTTTTAGGGAGCACAGATGCCAGAAACCTTGCCTCTTTCCATGCTTCCCTGTCTCCATTTCCCCACTTGGGCTTCCTCCTCTTCCTTTGGAGCAATCCCAGGTGCAGCCATCACTGGCTGGATCAATCCAGCACAGGCTGGATCAGTGACAGCTCCTCTCCAAAGCATCCCTAAAATGCACAGGAGGGACTGTCCCCTTGGAGAGGTGGGACATGAAAGCAGGGAGATGTATCCCCCATCCCCAGCATTTTCCTGCTTCCTCTCCTCCTCCTTCATCCTCCTTCACTACCTTTGCCCCTCCTCTCCCCTACCACTCCAGCTTTGTTCTCCTCTGTTTTTTTCATTCTCCTGCCATTTTTTCTTGTATTCTCTGCCATCCCTCAGTCCACTCTCATGACAGCACAGAACAGCAGCAGTCTTTTCCCTAGCTGGGGGGAAGCTGGAGCCCATTAGCTGCCTCAGCCAAAATTCACCTCCCCTGCTCACTCCTTGCTTTTAGCCTCCTTATAAATGTAAATTCAGTTCACTAGAAAGGACATATGTTTACAATCCCACAGCTGGTAGGTACGTGTGTAGCAGGAGTGTGTGCCAAGCTTATATAGACACATGTCACTTCTATCCCAGAATCCCATTTGGTGCATGGGAACATCTTCATGCTGTAATGTTGTGGAGGTCATTATTACTCCCTGTAATCCTCCATGAAGGTTTTCTATTTTCATTTATACATAGTAATAAAACACACATCTCAGCATCAGGCATTAGGATTAGGACTGACAAGGCTTAAGCTGAAATGTTTTAAGGATGCATTTGCAATGTGGATAGAATAGCTAGCACACAGCATGCAATTGTGCTGGCTTCATGGAGGGTAGGATTCATGCTTCAGCCCTGTTCATATCACAGTGACACCAACAGCATAAAAAGAGATTTTTTTTTAATGAAGATTGAATTAATTTTTACATTGTAGTACTAATCCAGTATTGTTAATTTATTTTAAGTTTCTAATGTTGATAAGCCACTGGAAGTGTGAAGAGAAATGCCCTTTCTAATTTCATCATCTCTTTGTTATTTCTTTGAGGAAGTTGAAATCCTGGGAGGCTGCAATGTGGGGTTGGCTGGCTGTGTTCAGAGCAGGGACTGGTGAGTGTGATGGCTCTGGACAGAGCTGCCTGGGGACAGAGTGAGTGCCTGGGCAGGACCCTGAGCCTGCTGTTCTTTGCTGATGCAGCTTTGAGCTCTTGTGCTTAAGTCTCATGGCATCCAACAGGGCTGCAGCCCATTGCTAAATGTGTGTGAACATGAGCATGTGCCTTGCTAACCCAGTGCCTGTGCATTTAGAGCCCAGCTACAGCTGCTGCAGGCAGGCCAGGGGGTACATCCCCAGGGGAGATCACAGCCCCTGAAGCATGGGCTGCACCCAGGGGAGGGACAGAGCACTGAGCTGGGAGAGCTCACCCCCTTCTTGTCTTCCATCTCCCCTGAAAGTCACAGTCCTGTTTTAGCAGCCAGGAGAAAGCTGTTCTCTCCCTGTCATCTCCTGCCATCTGCTTCTCCTCTTCCTCAACTGGAAGGAATAATGTCATAATCCCCTGGAGCATCCTTGGAGGATGCATGAGGACTGGATGAAATGGAAAAGAATGAGAGATACTTCTGGTGCAGCCAATAGGTGTGACAGTCCTCATCTTGCTGCCCCATGGCCAAAACGTGGGGTAAAACCAGGGCCAACCCAGTAACCAACCCAGGTGCATTGCCCCAGAGGGAGTCCTGCCTCCTGAAAATTCCCATCACACACCCCAGTCCAAGCAACAGAAGGCTTTAGACCTCTCCTCCCCTATCCCTGCATTGTGGAGGAATAGCTGGCCTCATAACAAAACATAAATTCCCAGTGCAGAATGAATGAAAAGGAGCAAATGGATCCATTACAGGCAATCATGTTTTGCCCAAATTTTTCTAAGAGCCCTGGTTACTTAAGTGGAGGAGCCTGGCACAAGCATGGTCAATGGGTTATATATTCACTTCTGCTTTCTGGCCATTCCACACTACAATAAACACAACTGGAGCCCAGCAGGTTCAGCCTGCTTTTACATTGCTAGATTTACAGTTGCTGGCATACTGGAGATATGAAGGATTGAGAAGCAATTTCATATATTGCTGTTGCCACTGCTGGCAGTTCCCTGCCCTTCAAGATATTTGTTGTGATAGCACGGAACCACCCCCTCTGAAGGATATATATTTAAAAAGCCCAAGGTGCTGAAGGAATGCTTTAGCTCAGTGTTCTTGCCAAGGTTTTAGTAAATATCATGTATATTTAGTATATTTGTCATTATTTTCGGTTTTCTTTTCTAATTCATAATTGGGGTTTAATTGCAGCCTTAAATGTGTTTTTATTTTAGCAGAAATAGAAAAAAAAATCACTCAGCCTATCATAAGAAGGAAAACAGATATGAGAAAACCGAAGTTTGTGGTATTAATCTTTCCCTCCTGACTTCCCCATCTTTGCAGTGAAAAGATGCAATTGGCTGCCTTTTAGGATGGGTGCTAAAAAAAAGGCAAAACTTAAAGACCTTAATTCACCAGCCTTAGACACCCCTCTGTGATTACCTACCCCTGACAACGTGACAATGCTGGGTTCTGAAACTGCCTGAAAAATAGTGTATGGTGGGGAAAGCCACCCAACCAAAAGCTCTGGGCAGCTCTCCATGGCTTTTGTACTGAGCATGTCCCAGTGAGACCCAGCAGCTGCCCTGAGCAGTGCACAAATGCAGTAGCAGGAATAGCTGTAAGTGGCAGCTGCATAGTGCCTTTTGCAAAGCACCAGGCACTAGCGTCATATTTTATGGCTGGTGGAAATTCAGCCACTGAAAAGCCAAAAGAAATGTGTATCAGATGTTGTCTCAAGTCAGACAACTAAATAATACAAAGTCTTGTTGCAGTTGGTGAATCAGGTCTCAGAGTAACTTACTCTTAGGCTCAGCTTCCACTAGGGCATCAGCACTGTTGTTACTCTGTGATGTAACCAGTTTATGGTGCAGCATTGCTTGTTTGTGGTAGGGCAGTTCCCAGGTCCTGGAGGGGCTGGGAATGTCAGCCCTGTATGAAGCCAGGGAGGCAGAGGCAGCCTGGCCCTGCAGGAGGTGCTGGCACTGTCCCATCACAGCTCTGCACGCTGTCCCCTGGTCGTGCTGCTGCATTTCTCTCATGCTCTTGTCCATTTGGTGGCTAATGCCTCCCTGTGTAGATGAGAGCAATTTCTGTAGCTGCAGGAATGGGGGCACACACACATCCCCTGAGCTGGGCAGAGTGTTTGTGCTCACAGCTCTGACACCCCATAGGAGCTGCCAGCATCCTGCTTCCCTCAGACACCATTTCTGTGGATTTCAGGGGGTCACTCCTCCCAGGACTAGTGCCCAGACCCCAGGGCCTCTGCTCTGCAGAGCTCCCTACATAAACCCAAGCTCAGGAGCAGAGCACTGCTGATCATGCATCTTCTGAAATTTAAGAACCAAAAAGCACATTATCATTGCAATTCATGTAGTAGTGCCATACGTGTCAGCTCGTGGGACAAAGGAAAATCTGTGAGGAATAAAAGATAGCAAGTCCCTAGCACAATGAACATTTTCCTGGTATAAAAACTTTTCATGATGAAATGGCCTCATCTCTGAGCAAAATCACTGTATTGCCCAAGCTGTTGTCAAAAACTTTTATGCATTGACTGCTTTTTCCACTAGATGATATTTACACTTCTCCCTTCACCCCACTGATCTTCATTTTTGCAGGAATTTTTTTGGGGGTAAAATATAACCTTTTTTTTTTTTTTTTTTTCTTTTAAGGTAAACTTCCAAGAATTGTACTTGAGGGAAGATATACAGGGTAGATGTAGTGACAACTTAATAGCCTGTAGTATATCAGATGTCTTCTATGCTGCCATCTTCTTGGGGAAAGTATTTCTATTCTGTGCATTAAACTATGCACATAGAAAGCTGTATAAACACCCTCATTTTTTTCTCTTTCAGGAATTGGCACTGGCAGAATGTGTGTGTTGTACAGGAGCTGCACTGCTCCTCTCCTGCAGGAAATAGAATAAAACATTTATTCCATTGCTCACACATTCACAGCAAGCCTGTAGATTAACTGTCCTTTCACAGAACACTATTTACTCGTTTCACAGAAAATACATTATTTCCTTGATTTAGTTTCTATTTGGTGTGCTAAAGAAATCAAATTTCCATATAGAAAAGTATACACAAAGGATATGACCTTTTAAGTTTAGCAGAGAAAATAACTGAGTGAATGTAATTAATATGCCATATAAATGCCAACAACAACATTAATGCACCATAAAATCAGGACAGTTAAAATGATATAGTCTGGAAATGAAAAAGTTAAGTTTCTGGTAGCTTCATTAATTTGCTCACATAGTATTTCAATGAAAGAAGCACAATCTCCTTATCTGAAGCAGGAGACTAGATATGGAAGGAGAAAATGTATTTTTGTTAGGAGGAAACTGGATCTTGCTTAAGGCTTGACCAAACTCCTGAGTTGGCAGCCCTACTTATGCACTTAGTATCATTTTTTCAGTGCTTATACCCTTTAATTTTTCCGTTCTGCATGTCTCAGATCCAAAGCCTGTCCACGCCTGTAGGTCTGTCAGCAGTAGTGTAGTAAAATGCTTGCATTGCCGTAGTTATACCACTGCAATGTGTCTTTTTCTAGACTAAATATTTTTCCTGAAGTTGCTTTCTCATACAGAGCATTTCCCTACCATGTTCATAGTCCAATATCCTCCTGTGAGTAAGGTATTCCCAGGGGATAAATGCTTCCTAAAGTTCAGGTGGGCAGTTTGTACCTGACTTTAACAAAGAGGTCTCCAGAGGAAAAAGCCTGTGGGGTTTTTTTGGGCTTTTTTGTTTGTTTGGGTTTTTTTGGGGGGGGGGTTTTGGTTGTTTTTTTGTTTTCTTGTTTGTGGGTTTTTTGGGTTTTTTTTTGGTTTTTTTTGTTTTTTTGTTTTTTGGGTTTTTTTTTGTATTTCTAGAATGCAAAAATAACAACCAAATAACAGCTAAACTTTCCAGTAAAGGGTAAACAGTGGGGCAGGGGTCAGCCAGGCAAAATGTGATCCCCACAACGTGGGAATGCTGCTTAAGAGCTGAAACTTCATTTCAAGTCACTCTGCCACCTCTATTCTGGGGCTGGCAAACGCTTCCATCACTGCAAGGGTGTGTTGTGGCTTAGTGACCACAACTAAGGCACCTGTCCAGCTGTTCCAGCCTTAGGTTAGTTGTTAGAGGTGAAAGAAATGGTGGAGAAAAGAGACAAAGCTTTAGCTTAAATATGAGGGGATCTATTCTTCCCACTGTGTGTGCCCAGCTCCCATTAATAATGAAATGTTAATGATAGTTATGTGTTCACATCAAAGGCAGAGCACAGCCTTTCATCTCACTTAAATCTTATTCAAATAATTAATGGAAGTAGTTGTCTATGAAAAAAAATATTAAGAAATTCCTTTGTAGAGCATTTCAAACTTTGCTGTCCCTGGGGAGCAGCTCCTAGAATCGAGGAAGCTAACAAATTGCATTTAAGTGGGTCTGTCCCTGCTTTCCACCAGCCTTGACTGCATTGCATCCTAAAAAACTGTGAAACGTTATTGGCATTGCAATAGATAATCCAACCAAAATCAAATCAAAAATCCCTGACAAGGCCTATGTTATGAAAATAATCATAAATCTTCTGCTGTGGTAGCTGTGTGTACCAGCATTAAGCATTCTGCTCAGACCTGTGTCAATATAAAAGAAATGGGGGAAAAGATGTCATCTGAAGTTCTGGTATCTACTCTGCATCTGTTGTCTGGTGTGCCTGGTCCTGCCAAGCGCAGCCACTGCCCCTTGCTTTGGTCACAGCCACAGGCCTGGAACAGCTCCCCTGGAGAGGCAAAGAGGGATAAGCCCAGTCCCCTGGCATTAGAGCCAGCCTCATTTCTTGTGGCTTTTAGCCCTTCTGCAAAGGCTGACGTGGCCCCTGCAGCTGGGGAGTGCTCTCTGGGAATGCTCTCTGGGAATGTTCTATGGGAATGCTCTCTGGGAATGCTCGTTGGGAATGCTCTCTGGGAATGCTGTTGGGTTTCTCTTGCAGGGTTGCTTCTG